CATGGCCTTCTATTGTTCATAAGTTCCAACTGGCAATTTTATTGTCAGTGAATGCAAAAATCTTAGTAAGGTGAACAATTTTGAGTTGTATTTTTTACAGTCCAGCACCAGAAGTCGCATTAATGGTGAGTGTTATAACAACATTATTTAAAAGAATAAATTCAGAGGCTTATTATATATATGATTCGAAGTTTGCGTGTTTCCGTTAGACATTTTCTGATGCGCAAATTAATTTTTTTAAACATGATGCCAGAGTGTGAACATGTTTATTGTTGTCCAAATCTTGAATTTCATGCGTGTTTTGGCGTGTTGTGCCGAAGGTTGAAATGAATAGTTGCTAGACTGTAGTAAACTTGTAAAACGATATTGCTAATACAAATGTATGATGGGTGGGAAACTTTCTTTCTCCGTGTTTTACAAATATAATGGAGTTGGCTGATGAATGTCTGCTTAGTTTTAACACTAGCAAACCCAAGCGAAATTGGCCCCTGTTTTGAAAAGAAGGATAGGTTGGCTGCTAACATTTGCATGTATTGATTTGCAAATTTAGGTAATGACTTATAACAGCAGGGGCCTGGGATGGGCTTTGTTTATTCGTGTGGGGGAGGGAGCGCTGCAAGAGAGTCTTCTGTCCCGTGATTTTTAGCAGTGGTAAAAACCCTGAAGGAGCTAGCTTGTTTTCCATATCTGGACACAGCACATTTAATTGACTCTACTTTGTCTGATTGGTCTTTGAAGGTCTTCTCGTGCTTCGTCTCAAAATGACGCTTAACACTTGAAGTTCTGCACACAACATTTTCACAGCATAAAGCACAGCAAATTTTTTCACAGCACGGTCCTTCACAAACACAAAACCAAACTCTTGTGTCCAGCAGGACTGGAATGGCCTAGGTTTTGCCTTTTCAGCAGCCGGCGTTGCCATTGTTTGCATATCTTATCACTATCATGCTATCTGTCATTCATTCGGCGCGAAGACAGCTGAGAGGGCGCTAATCCACGTAGTGGTCCTAGTGCCGGCAGTTAAAGCGCACAGACAGAGGCAGATGCTTTTAATAGCCATAAAATGGCCACATCAACATTTCAAAGACTGAAAAACAGCTAGCCTACACATTTAAACTAAAACAAGTGTAGGTTGAGGCAACATCAAATGATCAGATGCATATAGCAGACAGACAGTGACGTGCGGTGAGGATTGTGATTGGGGAGGCACTGACTTTAAATGTCAGATTTACTATCATTATTAAAATAAAATAGCATTTAATCACCGATGCAATAACATTCACAAACTTCCCATGCTGTAAAGATGAGAGAACTAGCTTCTTTTAATAATCTCACAACCAATCTAGTTGCTGACTCTCTGCTCCGCATCAAACAACATCTTTAAGAAGAACAGGTGCGAGAGACGTGAGCAGAGAGAGAGAGAGACGTGAGCAGAGAGAGAGAGACGTGAGCAGAGAGAGAGAGACGTGAGCAGAGAAAGAGAGACGTGAGCAGAGAGAGAGAGCAGAGAGAGACGTGAGCAGAGAGAGAGAGACGTGAGCAGAGAGAGACGTGAGCAGAGAGAGAGAGACGCGAGCAGAGAGAGAGAGAGGTGAGCAGAGAGAGAGAGACGCGAGCAGAGAGAGACGTGAGCAGAGAGAGAGAGACGCGAGCAGAGAGAGAGAGACGTGAGCAGAGAGAGAGAGACGTGAGCAGAGAGAGAGAGACGCGAGCAGAGAGAGAGAGCAGAGAGAGAGAGACGCGAGCAGAGAGAGACGTGAGCAGAGAGAGAGAGACGTGAGCAGAGAGAGACGTGAGCAGAGAGAGAGAGACGCGAGCAGAGAGAGACGTGAGCAGAGAGAGAGAGACGTGAGCAGAGAGAGACGTGAGCAGAGAGAGAGAGCAGAGAGAGACGTGAGCAGAGAGAGAGAGACGCGAGCAGAGAGAGACGTGAGCAGAGAGAGAGAGACGTGAGCAGAGAGAGAGAGACGCGAGCAGAGAGAGGGAGCAGAGAGAGACGTGAGCAGAGAGAGAGAGAGACGTGAGCAGAGAGAGACGTGAGCAGAGAGAGAGAGACGTGAGCAGAGAGAGAGAGGCGTGAGCAGAGAGAGACGTGAGCAGAGAGAGACGTGAGCAGAGAGAGAGAGGCGTGAGCAGAGAGAGAGAGAGAGAGGTGAGCAGAGAGAGACGTGAGCAGAGAGAGAGAGACGCGAGCAGAGAGAGAGAGCAGAGAGAGACGTGAGCAGAGAGCAGAGAGAGAGAGCAGAGAGAGACGTGAGCAGAGAGAGAGAGACGCGAGCAGAGAGAGACGTGAGCAGAGAGAGAGAGACGTGAGCAGAGAGAGAGAGCAGAGAGAGACGTGAGCAGAGAGAGAGAGACGCGAGCAGAGAGAGACGTGAGCAGAGAGAGACGTGAGCAGAGAGAGACGTGAGCAGAGAGAGAGAGCAGAGAGAGACGTGAGCAGAGAGAGAGAGAGGTGAGCAGAGAGAGAGAGACGCGAGCAGAGAGAGAGAGAGGTGAGCAGAGAGAGAGAGATGCGAGCAGAGAGAGAGAGACGTGAGCAGAGAGAGAGGGACACGAGCAGAGAGAGAGACGTGAGCAGAGAGAGAGAGACGTGAGCAGAGAGAGAGAGACACGAGCAGAGAGAGAGACACGAGCAGAGAGAGAGACGTGAGCAGAGAGAGAGGGACGCGAGCAGAGAGAGAGACGCGAGCAGAGAGAGAGAGATGCGAGCAGAGAGAGAGAGACGCGAGCAGAGAGAGAGAGACGTGAGTCCGCGTGTCTATGGTCCGCGCTCGGAGCCCAGACGGCAGTGCGTTCACTGAGCTGTCAGAGCGGGGGTCACAGCAGCTGCTCCCGGGGCCAGAGCGGAGGATTAAATGTAACGTTCGGTTTATCAAAACATATCACAATATTTAACGTATAACACTAGTGAATTTCACCTAGATTTTTTCAGACATTAAAGACAAGATGTTATATAATAATTGTTTAATGAAAAAACAATTTTGCCACAAGCAACCAAAAGATGTGCCTCAGACAAGAATCGAACCTGGGTTCTCCAGGTCCCTGTATTTAATGCTAACCATCCGGCCAACATAGCACCTCTGGGCCAGACAGGTTTGCACGCAGTCTTATACCTGAGCGTCTAAGTCGCTGGCAGAGCTAAAGCGGACTTAGCCTGCCACCTTGTGGCGATAAGATGTACTATTTTTCACGCAGCTGCGTGATTCCCGAGAAGCGTGAATGAAGACGACAAAACGGAATGGGACCTACTGTATGTGTATATATATATATATATGTATATGTATGTATATGTATATATATGTATATATATATATATATATATACATATATATATTATATCTCCTGTACACCCACAGGAGGAGAGCCTTTTGACCAGAAAACAGACAAGATTTACATGGTTTTCAATGGGAGCCAAACGGAGTTGCTCCATCTCTGCTCATAAACTACAGACAGTAATGCGCTGCAGTGCGTGTGTCTATACTTTATGTCAAATGTAAACGGTGTAAACTTTGTCGCTAACTCACCCTGTGTTTTCATCACAACTCGGGCACATGTGAAAAGCAGTAGCTCACAGCGCCGCCCCGCAACACAGAGTCAGGGTGCGTTCACAGACGGTGGAAACCGTGGGAATTTTTAGTTTTCGGCGGAAAAAGTTCGAGAATACAGGAGGGAGGAACTTTCTCTTGTTGCGTTTCAAAAGAAAAAACAGATTCCAACGTTCATAGTGATGTCTGCCGTTCATGACACATAAAATGAACTATTTCACGTTCAAGTTCTTTTTTTAAAATGTGTTGCGTTCAGTTCAAAGTTCACGGAAAAATGAACGTGTTCAATGAACGCGTTCTTTTGAACTCGTTCACGCACAACACTGCAGACTATCACTTCAATCTATTTATCATGCATTTGTTCACAGAATGTTTTAAGGATGGGCCAATCCGTGCGGTGCACGGATGAGCAGAACTTGGGGCAGAGCAGAGTCTTATTATTTGCATTATTAGAGTTCCTCAGACGACACGTGAATCTGAACTGAACATTACGAAGAGATGCAGAACAGGAGCAGACGCCACAGAAGTGAGTTTCTGCAAACTGGACTTTTCAGAACTTTTCCAAAGGTGAGCAGTGTACATAGGTGAGCAGAAAGAGTTACCTTTACCTCTGGAGAGCACATACTAAACTTACGTAGCAGCATATTTGATCGGCCATATAACTGACACAGCTGCCTGTGCATGTCCTTGGAGTGACCAAGGTATTTCACCTCATCTGAAGAATTTACAATGTTCCCGGATTTGAAAAAAATAGGAAAACAAAATTTACTGTCATCTTTAGTACGTGCAATCATTACAAGGCTTTTTGCTGCATTATATTTGATATTATGATCCAAACCATATTGAGAACACACATTAAGTTGTTGGTGAAGACCAGCACTGCAGGGACAGAACACCACCAGATCGTCTGCGTACATGAGGTTTATTATTATATATTTAATTTATCTAGAAATATTCCTAAATCAATGGAGTCACAAATGCCTCCACTCGGTTATTTTAGTCGTAGTAGCTTGGTCGCTCGCTTGTGTAACCTTTCTTTACTACAACATTGATCAAAAAGGCTGTATTGTTCAATCATCCCTGCGAATGCTCCCGCAAACATGATTTCTCACTTATTCCACTCGATTTAATCTGGTCGTTGTGGAGAAAAGCCACACTATTTCCGCCTGTAATAATGAGGTGCACAAAAGACAGCGGCGTGTAACGGGATTACAAGGCCATTCTCAACAACGTCCACCCAATCCACCCCAGGAGAGATTAAAGTCAGGTGGGATTAAACGCACTCCCAGTACACTTGTTTCCCCCGCGCTACATACAATTCAATTTCTCCTTCTTACGGCCACCGCGGCTTAGCGCAATCCGACGCATTTCTTTTCAACAACCCAAGTCTTTGAAGTGGAGCGGTCTTTTTTATTTTCTATTTCCTATTTGGGGCAAAGCGTTTGGAGCACAATGAGCGAGATGGGAGCCGGTAATGGCGGAGAGGTGCGGGTTTGCACTTTTCTTCATCATCGTGGCGACTTCTGGAGGCGCGCTCAGTCCCTGCTGGGCACAGAGCGGGCCGCGCTCTGTCAGGGAGGCGTGATGGGAAATCAGATGTGAGTGCTCTTCAAAGATAACCTGGTTTGGCTTTGATAATGAAACAGATGTGAGGAGCAAATGGCATTATGCGTACAGAACTTCGGGGCTAGGGAGCCAGGGATGGAGAAGAGATGATGTGAAATATACTTTTTTTCATACAGGAGAGAACTCTAGGAAGTATGCTAATTTAGCCACGTTTCTCTAGACTTCGCTGGGGGTCAAAAGATGCACTGTATGCCTCTATGAGGAGGTTTTAAAAGCTTTATTTGTGATCACCCACTGATCATTATGGCATTTGGAATCTCAGTATTCTGAGCAAGACGTATGAGTTTGTTGAGTAAAAGTCTGCATTAAAGATGAAATATTATGCAATATTTTTTGCATTAAAATGATTATGAGATTATTTACTATGTATACTTACTATGTTGTTTCATGTTTCAAAATCTATAATAATATCTTTAATAACTCCCTATGCTGCCACCAGAAGGATTGGGGGAATTTGTTTCTAGATTTTAAAATGTAATTGACATTTAATTTAATTCATGGTACTGTATAAAATACTTTTGTTTGCCCGTCTCGGAGACAATGGATCTGTCCTGTAGATATGCAGTTCACATTGTTTCCATCTTGGGCTCGATCCAAAGCCCTGATATCTGCGACTGGTCTCCAAGATGTCTCCTGGTGACGTGAGCGCTCTGACCAATTAGATCGTTGATCAGAGCGAGCCGAGTTTGTGTTTTTTTAATGGAAAACTGACAAGGGACAGTTGTAATTTCCTGTCTGCTGACGAGCCGTTTGAGTGAACACTGAAGTCTGAGTCTCCCTTGGAGATAGGTGCTCACTCAGAGTAGAGACGCTGCCCCTCCACGTGGAGAGTAACCAGATGAGGTTTATCGGGCATCTGTTTAAAACGCCTCCTAGAGACGCCTCCCTGGGGAGGTGATCCGGGCCTGTCCCACTGAGTGGGACTGGGGGAACAACCCAGAACACAGAGGAACTGTGTCTCTCCAAAGAGTTTTGTGAAGGAAATCTGCATCTGTACATGTGATGGAGTGATGACCAGAGATCTACAGCAGTTTGTGTGCCATGGACCAGTTCAATAAGTGATTTTCAAGGAGCAAACAATGCAGGTCTTTATATTGACAGAGAACATGGATGAATGTGCAACACCGGGGAACAAGGTTTAGTTCTGTCTATGTCTATTGTAAATACTTCGAGCACTTGTATATAGTAGTATTTATGGTACGGTAGTTGCACGCCTTATATCTTTTTTTACTTTTACGACTTGTTTGCACCGAGAGCCAAAGCGATTACCTAGTGTGTGACTTCCTGATTATCACAATGGCAATAAATAACAATAATAATAATAATAACAATATGAAATGAACAAAAAATACTCTTATTTTAAGCATTCATGTGGGACAATCAAGGGAACAGTCGACTCCTCCTCCTTGTTTATATAATCTACTGATGACTGTGTCAGTTCAGAACCAGTGCACCACTGCTCGAAGAAGTCTGCCAAACTACTGCAGTAGAAGCTATGAGACGTAACTTTCCCCAAGGGGCGACTGGATCTGGTCATGGATGAAGTCAGACGGTAGGCAAATATCTCGAGTCCAGACAAGACAAAGACTCGCATCATTTCCGCGGAGTATTGGAGGTTATTCTTGGAGGAAATCTCACAGGAGTCAAGAGCAATGTGCTGATTTTGTATTCATAGTATTGTGAATTATTAAACGATATTCAGTCTCAGCATTTTAGAATGTGGAGAAGTGATGATTATGTGTTAGTGTTTATAAGTCATACATGAATGAATGCATGAGGGACACCTTTTATCGGAGCCGGAATCGTCACATATAGCAGTGTTTTTCAACCACTGTGCCGTATGGTATTGTCTGATGTGCCGTGAGAAATTCGCCTACTTTGTCTAAAAATGAACGCATCCACACTGGCGAGCACTGACTTGTTTTTAACTGTGGAGTAACCACGTAATACTTTTTCATATCAGTAGGTAGCAGCAGATAGCTAAGTACTTTGAAAAGTATAAATTGGATGCGACCACTGGATGTAACAGGTAGCGGGAGCATTGTGGCGAGAAACTTTAAAAATTGGACGCGACCAACAAACTTGAGGGACCGAGGGGTATTGTGGCGAGTGAGACGTGAAAGTGATTGAGACGTTTTTGGAAAGGAATTTAGCCTTTTCTGAACAGGATTTACATCTTCCGCTCGGACCTGAACCATAGACGCGCGTGGACAGAACCATAGACGCGCGTGGACAGAACCATAGACGTGCAGACAGGACCATAGACGTGCGGACAGGACCATAGACGTGCGGACAGAACCATAGACGTGCGGACAGAACCATAGACGTGCGGACAGAACCATAGACGCGCGGACAGAACCATAGACGCGCGTGGACAGAACCATAGACGCGCGGACAGAACCATAGACGTGCGGACAGAACCATAGACGCGCGTGGACAGGACCATAGACGCGCGTGGACAGGACCATAGACGCGCGTGGACAGGACCATAGACGTGCCGACAGGACCATAGACGCGCGGACAGAACCATGGACTCGTGCTGAGGACCATCTCTCCCATGTCTCCTCCCGAAACACAACTCCTGAATTTAACACTGGGACCGCCGTGCTCTTAACATACCTTGCACCGCCCCCTGCGGTCAGTTGACCGCTATGTATTTTGCGCTGATACAGCCTTTTGCCAAATTGATTGTTCACTAAACCAGAACTTGATGTTGCAAAGGAATCGTGATCATAATGAAACTGTGTAAATTATTTGTCTAAATATGCTAAGTAATTGTAATTCTAGCCGAAATAAAAGACTAAGACGACACATTGTGCGTGTACTGATCCATCAAAATTACGATGGCTTTTCAGGCTAGATTTATTTTGTAACTTTGCAAACACCTAAAAGGTTGGTCACTATATGTTATATTTGACTCAGTAACAATATGTAAATTCAAACAATATAAATTATAGTTTAGAAAAGCACGGGACCATAACGTCTTCGCGCTGCTATATGCGTCTACTTCTTACGTCATCTCCAGACTGTTTTCTCTTTAGAGGCCGAAATCACCGTGGGAAATATTATCTAGATAATAATAATGGTATTCGTATTGACACAAGATCATCAGCTAGGCTACCATCGTCAATGTAAAATCTTCAATTTTACACGGGACACGTTAGAAAGACAAATATATGCATATATATATTTGTATTTATTTGAGACAAGCAGTGCTCTTTATGCTCAGAACAAAATTATAATCATTGCCTTGCAGTGCGCGCTGTGCAGAATAACACACAGTGTTATCTGGATGAAATCAGAATTATATCCTTATTGATATATGAGGGCCGCCTCTGCCACAGTCGCTCTCCTCCTGCAGTGTCCGCGGGTGACGAGCACTCTGATCTGCACTCTGCCTTGATAGTTCATCTAATTGTTCTATTTTATTGCGATATTGTATCTGCTTTATTGCCTTCTTGTATGTATAAATATAATAATGTAATTGATGATGAATGAAAAGGCAGAATGGAGCGACAGCGCGCACACAGACACTGCGTACACTCAAAGAAATGACTTGTAGAATTTACTTAATAAAATCATTGTAAGTATTTGCACTCAAATTTCTAAGTAATTTTAATGCTGTAATATCAAGTATAACTTACTTGCCAGTATCAAGTACAATGTACTTACTACTAACTTAAACTTTGTGAGGATATTATGTAAATGTTATGCAATATTTTATATCAGAATATAGATCAGTTACATGTGGTACAATGTACAACTCTTGCTACTGTATACAGTTTGATGTTATAAACTGAATTAAGCCTAATTTGACTTGCCATTTCGATCATGGTGGTAAAAATATATTAAATTATTTCATGGTCAAATTGTTTGTTCACATTTGCTACGTATTTTGATTTAAGACTTGCTTGAATTACACTCAAAATTAATGCTCAAATGTAGATCATGTTTACAGAAGTTTATGTTTTTCATCTGCATGCAATTTGTTAGCTCACTATTCACCCAATAGTTAAACAGTACTTGATTGTTTCAGATCTTGGTGCTTGTACAATAAATATGTAAATGTCTGCAAATTTGTAGATTTCTTTCATCAATTAATTTATTCCTGCATTACTTTCTGTTTAATGGCATGTCAGCAGCGTCTCAAAGATGGGCGGCGTCTCGCAGGGGAGTCATGTGACATACATTGGTCTGTGGGGAATATCATGTATATGAGGGCCGCCTCCCTCTGCCCCACAGTCGCTTCCTCCTGCAGTGTCCGCGGGGGACGAGCACTCTGATCTGCACTCTGCCTTGATAGTTCATCTAATTGTTCTATTTTATTGCGATATTGTATTCTGCTTTATTGCCTTCTTGTATGTATAAATATAATAATGTAATTGATGATGAATTGAAAAGGCAGAATGGAGCGACTGCGCGCACACAGACACCTGCGTATGGCTGGCATTACGAGGGTCATGTGAGTTATTGCTTCTGGACTTGTTACAACACTGCTGTCTGTGCCGTGAATGCACTATGGGTTTACGTTCAGATTTAGAATATTATAGGTGTTCTCCCCGCTGTCACTTTCTACCTCAAAATGTGACATCTCACCTCCGTCAGACTGTTCTCATTCAATGTCTTGAAGCACTGTCAGGGCTTCATACCGTGTACTTGCAGCTCTATTCATTTTGTACTCCTCTCTCTCCCAAAAATAATAATAAAAAAGTCCCTTTAGAGTCTAATGACAACATATTGATACATTTTTATAAGGCGCGAAAAACCCCCGGGAAAGGTTACTATGACAACAGTCGCCCCTGCGCCATGTATCTCCATGGGGCAGCAGAAAGGGCTGTGGTTTAGAAAAGTAAAAAATGCGTGTAAATCTTGTTTTCTTTACTTTTTCCAAAACCAAAACACACCAAAATATAAACAACAAGTACCCAGTAAAAGTCATAAAATTTCAACTTCTGGCGTTTTGTTTTGAATA